GTCTCTTTGGGACACAGAGGTCCCTCTACTCCTTTATTTGGGGAAAGGCTTCCTGGGGGAGCCCCAGTTGAACTCTGAGGCCGTAGTAGTTGCTGCAGTAGGTAGGGCTGGGAGTGCTGCCCTTGCTGATCTTCTGTGCTGGGCCTTTGCAGATCAGGAAGAACGGACAAAAGCCATTGAAGCCTTCCGGGATGGGAAGAAGGATGTCCTGGTTGCAACTGATGTTGCTTCTAAGGGTCTGGACTTCCCAGCCATCCAGCATGTGATCAACTACGACATGCCAGAGGAGATTGAGAACTATGGTGGGCACTGGGCCCCACAGAGACCATGAGGGGTTGCAGAAGCCAGCAAGGCTCTGCGCTTGTCTCTGCAGGGTCTGGGGACAGGGATGGTCTCACTGCACTCACCTGGTCCTGATCCTGCCTCTGTCCCCACAGTTCACCGGATTGGGCGTACAGGCCGTTCAGGCAACACTGGCATTGCCACCACCTTCATCAACAAGGCCTGCGGTGAGGAACAGCCAGGGGATGGGGGCTGTGGCTATAGGAGACACCTTGGCAGTGGCAAGGGGGGTGTTCTGAGCAAGCAGGGTGGCTGGAGGAGGGAGAGATGGCGGCACTAGGCAGTGCTCCCACCTCTGCTCGGGCTGTGCCTGACTATGTCTCTGCCTTCAGATGAGTCAGTGCTGATGGACCTGAAGGCCCTGCTCCTGGAGGCAAAGCAGAAGGTGCCCCCTGTGCTCCAGGTGCTGCACTGTGGGGATGAGACCATGCTGGACATCAATGGTGAGAGACTCCAGGCTGGCACAGGGACCCCCGTGGCCTGCAGACAGGACCCCAAGCTCCTGAGGCAGTTCTTGCCTGGCCATGCAGGCAGCCTGATGCCACAGCACTGGGGAGGCACTGGTGTAGCCCCTCTGCTCTGGGGTGGGGAGCTGGTGTCCTGGCATGCCACAGCTCCTCTTAACCTCCTCCCTCCCATTGCAGGTGAGCGAGGCTGTGCCTTCTGTGGTGGCCTGGGCCATCGCATCACTGACTGCCCCAAGCTGGAGGCCATGCAGACCAAGCAAGTCAGCAACATCGGCCGCAAGGACTACCTGGCCCACAGCTCCATGGACTTCTAGCCTGGGGAATGTGCTGTCTCACAATCCCCCCTGCCTCAGACCTGGGCTTCTTTTCAGCCCAGCGGCATCTCTTGCACTCCTGTGGCCCCTTTTCCATGCTTTTGGCCACTGGGACTGTTGCCAGCTCAGCCTGACAAAGCTCCTGCCCCAGGAGGAAATGTGTGGAGCTGTGCTGCAACAGCCCATTACATCATCAGCGGCTTGTTGGGCAAGCAGGTAGCGGTGCTTGAGGGCAAGAGGAACCCCAGGTGGGGCAACTTGTCTGTGGCCAGCTGCCTGCTGCCCCTGCCAGCCCCCTGCAGTGGCAGCACCAGGGTCTTACATTGCTCCTCTTCAGAGCTCCTCAGTTTCTCCATATCTGCCCCCCTTACCTGGGTTTGTCCATCCTCAGTGGGTGGCTGTTCCTGTATCCCCAGACTTGCTGGGATGCAGCCGGGGTGAGGTGGCGCGTGCTGCACTCACATTGGGCGCTCCCAGAGCTGCTTCCTGTGCTCTGCCCCCGCGTTCTGCCCCACTGCCCTGCAAGGGGGAGGGCGGGCACACGGACACCTCCTGTGGCCCAGCCTCTGCCCCCCATCCCACACCCCAAAAAGGGGAAGTCGCTGTGAGAAGGAAGTCTGCCTCATGCCCTTCCTTCGGCTGCAGCAGTCACATTTTCTCTGCTGCGGGTAGCCCAAGTCCCTGGTCCTTGTGCTGGCCAGGGTGTACTGGGGCCATGGAGAGACCAGTGAAGGATGGGATCCTCTATGTGCAGCACTGCAAATTTGGAAAGGTAAAGGGTGAATTTGGGGCTTGTAGAGGGTTTGCCCTGATCTGGTGATGCCAGCCCTGAGGCCAGGTCCTCAGCAGCCTGGGAAGGGGGGACTGGAGTCAGACCCCTCAGAACTGCCCTGGGGAGAACTTCCCCTTCCAGGGGGGGAGCCCTGGGCCCTGCAGGCCCAGGAGTGGGCCTCTTCCTGCGGCCGAGGGGACTCATCCATGCGGGCACACACTTGGGCTCACCCCTGCAAAGGGTCCCTCTTCTCGCTTGGTCACTGCGCGTTGGAACAATAAACGTGTTACTGCAGCACAGTTCCAGTGTGTGTGTGGGAGCCCCAGGGTAGCACGTGGGATGTGGTCCTGTGCCCAGCTCTCCATCTGCCTGGCCCGGGGGCCAGCAGCATCCATGGGACACCCTAATGGCTTGGGCTGCTCCCCTGAACCCTCGGGGTGGGCACTGAGAGCCGTAGCCCTTGGGGCAGGGTACAGGTGACATGGTGGGAGTCCCTGGGGTTGGGCCAACTCCAGGGAACTGTTGCGTGTTGGCAAAGAAGGTCCTGCTGTCACACTGGCCGTGCCATGGCGGGGTCCCATGGGCGTCTCAGTTGATGTATGGGGCTGCAGTCACTCTCTGACCTCCCTGCTAAGTGAGAGCCAAGGTCTGGAAACGCAGCAGGTAGCTGGCCCCATGTACGTGGGGCCAGTGCCTTGCCATGTAGGAGACAGGCGGGCTGGGGGCGGTGGGTATTTTGGGTGTTTGGCTGCATCTGGTTCCTTCAGGGCGGAGGCTCTGCTGCACTTCTGAAGCGCATGGGGACACGCGCCCCCACTGTCCCATGACAGGCTGGGAAGGTGCTGGTGCTGCAGAGGCTCCCCTGGGAGGAAGCTGGCTGCTCAGCAGATGTGAGGCTGCCAGCAGGAGCCCCAGTAGCTCAAAATGGCTTTAATTTGCATCAGGGTCTGTCCTGAGAACAGCTCGAGCTCAGCTGCAGCGGTGGCAGGCCAGCACTTGCAGCAGGGAACAAAGAGCAGGACCTGGTGCTCAGGGAGCCAGGAGTGAGCATGACTCACCCAGCGAGCCATGCCAAGCCTGCCTGGGGCAAGGCCTCCTTCGACCCAGCTTTAGGACTGCCCTGCCTCACAGTTTGGGGGTCCGTACTGTCCCCAGCTCTCCAAGATCTCCCACAGCACCTGGCGGGTGCAGGCTGGGACCCCTCCTGCCCCATACGGCTCCTTCCAAGCGCTGCTGGCCCCACATGGAGTGCAGCACTACCAGGATGCAGCAGGCAGCTCCTTGCTGACCCATTTTTTCCCTGCCTGTGCCCCTCCTGTGCCTTAGAGGTCCTGGAGGAAGATGCGAGCCCAGCTGTTTGCTGCCAGCCCCTCCGGTGTGGCCCGCATGGAGAAGTTCGACGTGCGGGATGACAGCACAGCCCCGGAGAAGATGCCTCTGCAGCGCTGTGCCCGCCGGGTAATCCGCCTCTCAGACTGTGTCTCTGTGGGCCCAGCAGGCACAGAGAACTGCCCCAAAGCCACCTCCGCCTTCTACCTCACCACCACGGAGAAGAGCTATGTGCTGGCAGCTGAGCAGCGGGATGAGTGGATTGCCCAGCTCTGCCAGCTGGCCTTCCAGGTACTGCAGGGTCTGGCCGAGGCAGGAGCCCTTATGTTGCTCCTGCTCAGGTGAACTGGGGGGCTCCAGGGCCAGCAGGGAGCTTGTGCTCCTTGCTGTCCAGACCATGCTCACATTCCTCTGTTTCAGGGTGCAAAAGAGATGGTGCCGAGTAGTGCCAGGACCCAGCTCAGCCCCTCTGTCCCCATGGAGGAGAACTCCCTCTACTCTTCCTGGCAGGACTGTACGTGCAGGGGTGCAGGATAGGGCTGGCGTGGGGTCCGGTTCAGCTCCGCAGTGCTGACCCCTGCCTTGTTCTGCTCCTGCAGTGACTGAATACCTGGTGCTGGTGGTCCAGACAGATGCGTCCACCCGCTGTGGCCTGCACGGGCAGTACCTGCTATCAGCCCTTCCCCACAGCCTGACACTGAAGGACCTGCAGTCCCTCCAGCCCCTGCTTACCTGGCCCTACCCCTTCCTCCGCAAGTTTGGCCAGGATCAGGTGAGTCCCCTGCTCCCTCCTTGGGGCTGCTGGCTCCCCAGGGTGGGTGCCAGCCCCTCATTCTCCCCTCTGGCCCTGCAGGCTGTCTTCTCATTCGAGGCTGGTCGCCGCAGTGACTCTGGCGAGGGCACCTTCACCTTCAGCACCCCGCGGGCCCCTGAGCTCTGTCGGGCTGTGGCTGCTGCCATTGCCTGCCAGCAGCAGGGCAAGGACACCCCGGACCCCAGGATCTTCTGTGTCCCAGACCCCCAGCTGTCTGCACAGGGCCTTGAACCCCAACCCTGGGGCCCTGGGACAGAGGACCCCCAGCCCAGCCCAGCCCTGGCGGGGGCACAACCTGCCTCCAATGCCTCTGCCAGCCTCCTCTGCTTCACCCCACCAGAGCCAGAGGGCTCGTGCCCCATCGTCTATGCCTCCATCGCCCGGGGCCACCAGCCCCTCTTCGTGCCAGGGCAGCCGGGCTCTTGTGAGCCCTGGGCCGCAGGGAAGCCGCTCCCTGAGCACCTCTACGAGAACATCTTCACCGCAGAACCGCTTCCAGTCGGGACACAGGAAGAGGAGGAGGAAGGGCAGTGGGAGCTGGGGTGCCGACAGGCCCCCGAGGGCCACAGCAGCGAGGGGGGACCCCTCTATGACAACCGGGCTGCCCTGGCACAGCCCCCCGGGGCCGCGGGCTGGGGGCGCGGGGGGCAGGAGCCACTGCTGGGGCGCTCCAGGCACAAGCCTCATAGCACCCTCCGGGCTAAGCTGGTGCGGCTGCTGAGCCGGGAGAGCGCCGGGGCGCGGGACTGGGCCTGATGCGGTCGGTGCCGTTCGGTCAATAAAGGCCCTGCCCGGACCCGGCTCCGCCGCTGCTGCGGGGGGGGGGGGGGGGGCAGCTCTCGCCTCTCCGCCAGGGGGCGTCGCCGTGCCCGCCCTGCCGGGCAGAGGCGCGCGCGCTGATTGGCCGAGCCGCCCACCGGCCCCGCCCCGTCCCGGTGCTACATAAGGCGGGTCCGGGCCGGGCGGGGGCGGTGCCGGGGTTCGAGTCCCGAGTCCGTGTGATCCGTTCGGCGCCGCTCCTCGCCCGCTCCGTCGGGCCCCCCCGGCCGCGGGTGAGTGGGGGTGCGGGGCGCCTGGGCACGGCGGAGGGCTCCGTGCACTGCGGGGGAGATGGGGACGCAAGAGATGGAGGACTGGGGCCTGGGTCGGGGAGAAGGCGGATGATCGGGGTCGGGCCCGTGCGGGGCAGAGCCGGCGGGGAGGGGTGGTGCTGTGCGATGGGGAGGGGTCGCGTGGCCCCCTGCGGGGCAGGGGGGGCTCCCCAGCAGTCGGAGGGGCTGCCCAGGCTGTGCGCGCTGGGGATCCCCAGTCCGGCCGAGCCCGGTCCCGCCGGGAGGGGTGCGGGGTGTCCACCCCGTCCCGGCGCCTCGCTGGAGCTTGCGCGGCTGCCGGGCGCCGGGAATGCCTGACACGCAGCTCTTCCCCCGGCCCTCCCGAGCGGGGAGCGGGCTGGTGTCGTCTTACACGCCTTATATAGCCCGCACCGGCCTGGGGAGAGCGGGGGCACGCTGGCCCCCGGCCCTGCAGCCGCCCCGCCGGCCCATGCCGGGCGCGGGGAGTCCCGCAGCCGGCCCCGCTCCACCTCGGCAGGAAGGTCCTGAGGCGTTTTGCGGGGGTCTGGCGGCTCCATCCAGGTGAGGGGTGGCAAGAAGCTGGTGCCGGCCCATCTGCCCGGAGCCTTGGCCGGCTGACAGCTGTCAGGCAGGGGAGCGCTGGGATTCCCTCCCGCCAAAGCCCTGGAGATGGGCTCACTCCCAGGGAGCATCTGCTCAGCCGGCTGCTGGAGTGCCAGCCTGGCTGCTCTGCCAGGCACCTCGGGTGGCATCACGCAGCTCCTGCGCTGCTGCTGCTGCTAATTCATCCGGCAAAATCGCTTCTGGTTCATATCCTTCCATACCTGCTGTTGCTTCTCTGCAGTCTAAACAGCCTTGGCTCTCAGCAGTGTGAATTGCTGGGGTGCGGCAGGGGAGAGCACATCCCAGGTTTGGGAGGAGAGCGAAGCCCACAGACACTCCACTGTGGGTGGCAGCAGGGCTGTGTCTGGCTCTCTTGGCACTAGTCAGTGTTAGCCTGGGCCCCTCAGCTCTGACGTTGCTGGAGGAGATGCTGATGGATTTGGGGTGCGTCTCTAACCACAGTGTAGGATGGTCAGGGTGGAGTTACAGCTGGAAATGTGACCTGCCTCCTTCTATCCTGCCCTGCCAAGTGCTGGGCCCCCTCCTCGGCTACTCTCCCTGCATTGTTCCCATGTATCCTAACGCCAGGATCACACCCTCTTCCCTTGCAGAGATGGGCGACATGGAGTCCTACAAAGTGATGCTGAATGGGCCGGCACCCTGGGGCTTCAGGCTGCAGGGAGGGAAGGATTTCAGCATGCCACTCTCCATCTCCAGGGTAAGAGAAGCCAAGGCTGGTGACACCCATCCTTCTTCCTGCCTCTGTGGGAGGGAGGCTGTGACGGCAGTGTCCAGGTGGCTGAGTCAGAGTCCTACAGGGGATGCGGATGAGTTGGGGCCCCAGGAGTGCTGCATCCTGCCCTGCCTGCCTCCATGTAGCCTCTTTGGTGCCTTATCAGCTGCAGCCTGGCACAGGGGTGTTCCGGGCAGAGAACTGCAGCAGAGACGTGAAATGCTGCACAGCCTCTGCAGAGGGGGTAGGGGAGGCCCCTTCCGGAGCGTGCCCACCACAGGGGGAAGGGATCTGCTCTCTGAGATGTGGGACTGCCTTCCTGATTGGCACCCTAACGCTGGGATCAGCATCCCAGGACTCAGCCAGTGCCCTTCTGCCCTCCCTTCCACTGCACAGCTCCTAACTCCATGCCTGAGCTCATCCCTGAAATGGGCAGGGAGAGGAGGAAGCTTGCACTGCTGCCTGCACAGGGACATGATTCCCTCCACAAAACCATCCCTTTTCTCCTGGGAGAGCCGTTGTGCCGCAGCTGGTTGTGGCTGAGGCCTCTGGTTTGAGCTGTGCCCGGTGCAATGCTCAGCCAGGCCAGGTCTGTCCCCGGGCGGATGCTGGCCATGGCTCTGGCCACACAATTGCCTTATAAGCCTTGGAATGTGACTGCAATGCCTGTGCCTCTGGCGCTTGGGCAGCTGGCACGGAGGCTGCTTCTCGAAGGACAGCTTTGCTCATGGCACCGGACGCTGCGTGGGGCCCTGTCCCCGGCACGAGCTCAGCACTGCATGCCTGTCCCAGAGGACACAGATCTCTGCAGCACCCAGGCAGGGAGGACGGGCCCTGAGGGCACCATGTGAAGCTGGAGTCACCAGCACCGCCGCCCCAGGGCCCACTGATCTCTGCTGAGCACGCAGAGAAAGACTCAGCGAGTTTATTCTCTAAAAAATGTTTCTCTTGGCTGCGAGCCAGCGCTTAACAAAGGGTCTGGTCGGATGGAGGAGCCTCCCAAAGCCCAGGGCAGGGGCCTTATGAAGCAGCACTTGGTGGGGCTCGGGCAGCGCTGCTGTCAGGAGCAGTGAGGGGATGTAGCCAGCTTTGGGGGGGTTCTCTGTTAAGAGCAGGCTTTGTGGCAGGGCGATGTGCTCTGTCTGAGGGGAGGGGTGAGCCTTGCACTGCTCTGCACTCCAGAGACATTCCCAGCCCCAGAGCTCCTGCCCAGAGCACACTGCTGCCCTTGGCCACTGCTTCCCATGAGCTTGCCCTGCTAGAACGGGATGTAAGGAAGCGTCCTGCCTCGGCTTTGAGGGCTGCAGTGGGGTCCTGCTCTGTGGGGCCAGGGACCACAGGGGGAAAGCAGCACTGGCGTGTGCTCTGGCTCTTGGCTGTGTCCCTCACTGTAACACTACTGGGTGAGCTGTCAGGCTGCTGCAGCTCACTGGCCACACACAAAAGAAGTGCCACTATGACCCCCTGCACGTGGATCTCCCGTGGCAAGGGGCTCTGCTGGGGTACTGACACCTGGGCAGACTGTACGCTGCGGTCCCTGCGGCAGAGCCAGGGCAAGGGCTGCCATCTGGGGAGCTGGGTGCTGTGTGATGCATCCCAGCCTCTGCCAGTTGGGGAAGAGGGGAGACCCTTGGTTCTGCTGGCAGGATGGTGCTGGGGGATGCACCTTCCAGCCTTTCCCCACCATGCTGGGCGATGCTCTGTCCTGGGGGTCCCTGGAAAGGGTGGCAGATGGGCATCTCTCTGGGTGGAGTGACAGAGGTGCAGGGAACAAAGGACTGGCTGGGCAGAGAAGGGAGGAAGGAAATCTTGGGTTTAGGTTAGCAGGCCTGGGTGGGAAGCGGGAGGACTGGCACTGCCACAGCTTCCAGCTGAGCTGGCACCTGCCACAGGGGTTTCCTGGTGTGCCAGCATGGAGGGGGACGGAAAGTGCTGACCGGGCTGGGTGAGGCTGTGTGACGCAGCCTGACGTGCTCTCCCCTTCCTGACTGGCCGTGTGAAAACATTTCCCAGCTCCTGCTCCTGCCTGCAAACCCACACAGCCGCCCTGTGCCTTCCCCAGCCCTCCAGGGCAGCAAGCCGGGGCTTGCAGCAGCATGGCCAGCCGGCACCACTGCTGCCGAGGGCACCCTCCCGTGCTGGGCAGGAGGAGCAGGCACTGGGCTGAGGGGTGGCAGCAGGATGCAGGCGGAGCCAAGCCACATCCAACCCGGCTATGGAGTTCGGCCTCACATGGAGTGCCAGTATTGGTGTAGGGAAGTGGAATGTGGCTCTGGGGTGAGCCAGGCTCTGCGCACGGGCAAGGAGGGGCCAGGACTCAGCGGCAGGGATTTTTCAGCCCTCTGACAGTGCTGGGAATCTGGCTCGCTCCTTTTATGTTCACGTCGAACAGGACTTGAGGAAATACTTGGTCTGGGTCCAAGCGCCTCGAGTTCTTCCATGCTGGAGGAGCAGGAATGGCTGCATCCTGCCCACGTCTGTCTGTCTGTCAGTGCCTGGGAGCTGTGTGCGGTGCTCTGGGCCCTGCTCGCCTCTGGCTGTGCATCCCTGGTGGGAGGGGAGGGCAGCACAGGCTCCACTTCCCAGCACGGGGCTGATGGGGCTGACGTAGAGCCGTGCAATGGAGCCACAGCGGGGGCAAGGCACATCCCTGGCACTGTGGCCGGGAAGGAGAACCCGTGGCCGTGCTCTCGGCTGTCCCGGCGCGACGATGTCTGGGGGAGCAGCGTGGGTGGGGGCGGGTGTCTCCCTGCCTTGGGAGGGCTCCTGCTCCTCTGTGGGAATGAGGTAATGTCTGTGCCTGCTGGGAACAGGACGGGAGCATGGAGCGCGGGCGGCTGGGGGGAGTGCCCAAGGGGTGCCTCCCCTGACCCCCCCTCGCCCCAGGCGAGGGGCTGGACATGCCTGTGGTTTGCAGTGAGATGTGGGCTGCCCAAAGGGCCCTGACTCACTGTGCTCCCTTCCTGCCCCGGGACCACAGGGATGGCTCTGAGGGGTGGCCAGGCTTCCTGCCGAGGCTGAGCCAGCACCGCCTCCGTGTTTGGCGTCATGGGGATGAGGCCCCGGGGTGCTGGCAAGGTCCCCAGCCGTGCCAGAAGGCAGGGACTGGGCAGCACTCTGGGGTACTGCTTTGCCCTCTGCTGCTGCTGCTGAGGGGAAGAAGCTGCTCTGGGCTCATGCACTGGGAAATGAGGAGTGAGCTGGGTGTTCCCACCTCCCCCTGGGTCAGGCCTGTGTGGGTATCCTGTGCTGGGCTGGGAGCCTGAGCCCCAACAGACCCCTTGCCTTCATGAGGACAAGGACATCCCTCTGCTCCCGAGCCAGCACTTGGCTGTTCCAGCTCTCCCTGATTCTGTCTGTCTTGCAGCTGACTCCAGGTGGGAAGGCGGCTCAGGCTGGTGTGGGAGTGGGCGACTGGGTGCTATACATCGACGGGGAGAGCACCAGTGCCATGACACACATTGAGGCCCAGAACAGGATCCGTGCGTGTGGGGACAGGCTCTGCCTCACCCTGAGCAGGTAGGAATCATGGGTCCTGCAAACATGGGGTCTTGGTGTGGCCAAAGCATAGCCAGGGCCATCTCCCAGCATCTCCATATCCTGGCATCACTGCTCTTTGCTCAGAGCTGGGCAGCCTCTGGCTGGATCTGAGGGCTCAGCTTGGCCAGATGAGGCTTAGCCTGGCTGTGAGCCACAGGGCAGTGCCAGCGGGCCATGGCTCCCCTTGGGTGGTTGTTGCATCCCTGGGGTACCAGTGTCCCAGCAGTGCCTGGGCCAGTTCCAGCACCTGCCCATCTGTCTCCTCTCTTACAGAGCCCAGAACCAGCTGGGGAAGCCGCAGAAGGTACGTGTCGCTCATGGTGCTGCAGTGGCAGCTCAGCCTTGTCTCAGGGAAAGGGACTCTCTGAGTGTAGATGGATAAATAGATTTTGCTCCTGGGGCTCACAGGCTTTTAGGGGACTGGGGTGTGTTTGGAGATCTAGATAACCCCACTGGAGGAGCAGCTCTGACCTCTGGCACCGTGGAGGATCAGAGGGAACAGGGTCTGCTCAGGAGGCAGCTTGGCCCAGACTGTGCCCCTGCTGGTGCCAGGTGTGGGCAGGGGTGCAGAGGGGCCAGTGCAGGGGAGGAGACTGGGCACGTGCAGCACAGTGTTTGCTGGTGGTGGGGAGTGCCCTGGCATAGGGAGGCAGGGCTGAGGCTGGTGACCAGTGGCTCCTGGATGGAAGCCACCTACATGGGTTCAGCTTTGTGCCACAGGACGGTTGCGATGGGTGTGTGTGCATGTGCACCGCCCTGCCATGGGCAGCAGCAAGTGTCCGGGGCACCTACTAATCCTCCAACGACCCTCAGGCTGGATTTGTGACCTGCTGTCACTGGGCTGGCTGCTCTGTGGAGAGAGGTGCCAGCCTGGCAGAGCCCAGTGTCCAAGGTGCACGTGCTGTCCAGCTTTCCTACCTGGCTGCCTGCTGCGCTGCCTGGCCCAGGGCTGCCTTTTGCATGCTGCTTGATGTGTGAGCCCGTGTCTGTGTGTTTTGTCTCGCTCAGGACTCACTCCCCTGCTCTGAACCCCTGAAATATAACTTCGCTCCTAGCACCGCCCTCAACAAAACAGCTCGGCCCTTTGGGGCCGGCTCGCCTCCGAACCCACAGCCCGGGCTGGTGACGAAACCTGTGACGTACGCGCCCCTGGCGCCCGCCTGCACCCCCCAGCACAATGGGTATGTTGCTGTCCATCCTGCTCCCTGAGGACTGGGGGGAGCCCGCTGCCCGGCCCTGCTGTGCCTTGCATGCCAGACACCGTGGGTGGGAGTGGGTGAGAGTGCCTGTGCTGGGGTCCCCGGTGGCTGGTGCTGAGGTGGCACAACAGGACTGTTGCACACAGGGACACACAGCCACACTTGTGCCAATCCCTAGCTCAGGGATGTGTCAGCCTGCGGAGAGTCCTGCAAGGCATGACACAGCAGCTGTAGCAGGACACTGGCTGGCATCTGCAGCAGCAGGGAAATGGTGGCTGCCTGGGGATGTCCTGCTGGTCCCCTGGCTGGTGGGATAGGGTGAGCAGAGTGAAGCCCTCCAGCCCTGCACAGCACCATCATCACCCAGCTCTGCTCAGCTGCCTGTGTCTGGCAGCTCCTGGTCCCTCCTGAGAGAGCTGCTGTGGTGCCCTGGAACTGGGCAATGGGGTGGGATGTGGCACCCAGGCCTGTTCTGGGGCTTGAGGGAGCACAGTCTAGTCCATCCCGGTGTGCTCAGAGCCCTGGGCGAGCCGGGTGTGAGTCTCAGGGGTAGAGGGACTAATGTAGGCCATAGGTGAGCTCTGGAAACTTCTTGGATGCTGCAGATCTAATTTCACCTTCCTTTTTCTTTCTTTCTCTCCTCCCTTTCTCTTTCCCTCTCCCTACAGGTGCTGAGCCTTGACAAGTCAGTAAGCCTTTTGCCTGCTCTCTCTATCTTCCCCACATGCCTCTTCCCTGCTATTGCCCTGTTCTCCGGGGCAGGGCCAGCCTGGGGACGGGCAGCACGTGCTGCTCTGCCTGTGTGGGTGGGTCACTTCTGGCAGCAAGCTGTCCCCAACCTGAAGGGCAAGTGCTGCCTGTCTCTGCCAGCTGCTGGAGTGTCCTTGTGCATAGTCCCTTCCCTGCTCCCCAAGATGTGGCTCGACCGGACAAGGGCTGATGGGCTGTGCTAGGCACCCTGCCCAGGGGCAGGTGGCATGCCATGGGCAGCCACTAGGCTCTGGTGCAGCTCTCCCAGTGGTGGTTTTTTGAACATGTCTTATTCTTGCTCTGTCCTTTCTCCTTCTGGCCCTTGGGGCCAGTATCACACTATCAGTCCAAAGTCGGTCCTTCGTGGGCCAGGTCTTTACTGGAGAGGAGTAGAGGGGTGGGGAGTAAGGACACATGTGGTGTCTTGAGTACTGGTGTGCTGTGGTTCTTTGCCAGGGAAGGTGTGGGGCAGCCCCAGGGAAATGATGCCATGAGATCTGTCAGATTTGACAGATGACTGTCACTCACAGGCAGCCCCCTCAGCTGCTGGAGCCCCCCAGCAGCCCCGTGTGCGACCCTGTGAAGCTGCGGATGTTAGAGGACATTGACGACTCACAGCCCCACAGCTGGACCTCCCAGTCCCGCTCCTTCCGCAAACTGGCCCGGCTGGTGGGCGCAGACAGCAGTGAGTTTCCACGTGGCCTGGCACTGGCTGGCTGCCCAGCTTTGCCAGGACAACTGGAGCTGGAAAAAGGCTATGGTGCATTGTGGCACTTGAGTGTTGGTTTTGGCCCCATGTGGCCCCTGTGGGCCAGCTGAGCCAGTGGGAGCTGCCCGGGGCTGTACGTGGGCTCGTGGTGGTGCCGCTGGTCTGGGGCTGTGCTCTGCCCCATGGCTGGGCAGGGCTGTGCAATGGGGCAGGTGGGTGGCTGGAGGAGAGGGTGTTTTCCCTTTCCTGTTCCTTTTCCATTTCTTTTGTCTCTGGGCCTCAGTTGCCGCAGACTGACTCCACCTTTCTCTCCTGTTGCATTCAGTGGAGGATGGTGAGGATGAGCTTGTTAAAAAGCCCAGGTAAGGGGAACATGTGCAGGGGTGGTAGCAGGAGCCACAAGATGCTCAGCCCACGTGGCTGCTTCATCCTCACAGCTTGCAGTCACTCTGGGGATGCTCTTTGCCCTGTTGCTGTTTCTTCTTTCCTCCTCCTCCATCCTCTCCCCTTCCCAGAGATGAGCTGTTGGTGGAGCGCAGAACCTGCCCTGTGCTCAGCCCACCATGGGCACTGCCAGTGCTCAGCCACTGCTCTGAGTGTCACCTTGGGAGGGTCCTGCCCGGACACCCACTGGCCAGATGGGATGTCCTGTGCCGGGTAGGACCCGCTTGGCACTGCTGGCACCAAGCTGGGGAGACCAAACTCTGCCATTGCTATTTAAGCAAATGGTATCTGGAGAAGGCTGGTGGCACTAACAACACATTGCTTGGGGTGCTCTGAGGTTCCAGGCATTGCCTGGACCTGGGGCACAGTGTGCCCTGAGCCTGGTGTGGGACAGCTGGGCAGAGCTAGGTGAGTGTTGCCAACTTCTCCTTGTGCTGGAGTGCATTTGTGAGGGATGGGCTGAGCCCTGGTCAAATCCTGAGTGTTGTGCTGCCGTTTTTTTCAATACCACAGGGATGCCCATGGGTCCGGCTGGGGCACAGTGGAGCAGTGGTGAGTGCGAGAGTCTGACGAAGGCACCTTTGGGAGCATTATCCTGTGCTGAAGCAGGGTCTGTGCTTTGTGTTGGCTGAGCTCCTGCCCTCTGTCACTCACAGGCAGCCCCCTCAGCCGCTGGAGCCCCCCAGAAGCCCCGGGTGTGATCCTGGGAAGCTGCGGATG